GGTGGGTTAAAACTTATTTCTCCATCTGGGTTACCCAGGGTTCCCTCGAAATCCAGACCCTCCGGGACTGTTTGCTTCCGAGGATGGAATGATGATGGATCCAGATTATTCACTATAGGTGGTGTGTATATATGTGTATATCATATATTATAGTATTACTATTACAGTAGTTTTATCTAGAGACCATATCAGCATACCTCAGCTGTAACATGTCAGTGTCCCTGTCTCACTCGCCGGACCAGGCGGTCGGAGGCCGTGAGGATGGTCTGCGAGCGCTTGACGCGGCGGTCTCTCGGTCTCGGATGGAGACGGGGGTGGGACGTGGTGGGACTCGGTGGACCGTGGTGGACCGTGGTGGGACGTGGTGGGTTTCTGTGATTGTGATGCTGCAAGAATCACAGACCCAGGAGCCTTGTGATGCTGCAAGTGGATGTTCTGGGGTGCCCCTACGCCCTCCAAGTTCGATGTCGCGAGGTCCACGGAACTCCTGGTTAGGTGTTGGTTGCTCTATAAGTCAACCTGTTTTGTGAAATGGTTTCAACAGGCTTTGGAACCGAAGAAGCCCTCCGAAACGCCCAAAATCCTCCAGCTCCAGGCTAGAAATGTAGACTCTTGATGAAATAACAACTCTTCATTTGGATTGACAACCTCTTCATGGTTGAAATTGACATAATATATATATATATATAATCAAGAGTCTACATTAGGTTGTCAGAACCATGGGTTAAGAAGTGACGCTTTTCGATGCACCACTCTTATTTGCTCCTGGACTTCCAGCTAGCCTCTACCCAACTGCACATGATTGTGGGTCTTCGGTGTCAACCTTAGAAGATCTTAGAAGATCTCTAAAGTTGTTGCAGGATGAGAACCCCAACCACATGGTACGTAGTTATTTGTGGGTCCTTGCTCTTGAAGGACTTCTCCGCAAAGCCACTCGACATGTTCATAGATTTTCCATAATGCAGGGTGTCCGCTGGTTCCGACAATCGTCTGTGGCACGGGCATGCATGTTGTGCGAATGGTTGTGCATCAATAAACACTGTAGTTCTATAAGCTTTTTGAGTTGTCCCTCTCTCAGACTGCTGGGTAGACAGTAGTGTAAACAGATGTAAACAGTATAATCCCTTCAACATGTTGATCATAGGATGTATGGGGTTTACATGGGTTTAGAAACCTAGCTTGTCTTCCTTTCACGGGAATATGTCCCGTTCGATCCTTTGAGAGGCCCCTTGAGGCCCCTTGGTTTGGTTGATCTCGGCCCCCAACCTGGTCATCGATCTCCCAAGGTTAGGTTTTCAAAAGCAGAGCATGCAGAACCAGGTGGAGCACATCCAGGCACCTTGGATCGATCCCAGCGATAGGTGTGGTTTGGATCCGGGCCGGTGGAGAGAAATGGACGTGTTGATACCACCCGACTGGGATAGAGGCCGCCCCGAGCCCCGAAATCAACCACCCCAATGTGGTAAAATCATGTAAAATATACCTTACTATTGCCAGTCCCGTGGAGATACATGGATGACGCAATGCTGGAGTTCATTTTCCCTCCAGTCTGTACAAGCCTTCTGTTCACTTCCGATCGTTTCCAGCCTTCAGGACTTGCAAAGGGCTAGGGGTCCAAAGATGGGTTCACCCTACAGGAGGAAACCCATGGGAGCTTTCCAGAGAGCTTTGTTGAAGTGGGATGCAAGTACTTGTAGCCGCTGACTAGAAGGGTGTCCCAGTTCATCTGGGTACCTCCAGAGTCCAGGTCCTAGTATAATGCATCTCACGAATCCAAAAGGGCCATTCCTTGGGCGTGGCGCACGGAATCCTGGACTCCGCAGGGGGGGTGATTTTTTTGCTTGTCCGGTTGCGGACTGAAATGTCCGACCAGCCATCCTAGTAGGCGACGTCAGATGACTTGAACTCAAAGCTCATTATTCCATGGCGTATTGGATCATGTCTTCTGAAAAAAGGAGGTTGCACAATTCCTTGCACGCGCTTGCACGTTGTTACCCAGCAAATTCTGCATCCACCTACGGCTGAAGCCGTACTTGTACAGGGTTCCAAGGATCGCGAATCGATTTGCGGAAACCTCTGGAGCAGAGTTCCGAAGCGAGGTGGATCAGCATGGATCCACATGGCTCTTGAGGGGACACTCTAAATGCATCCAGGTGGATCCGCTTCTCGGAAGCGCCCAGCGGGTCCAACCAGCAAGCTCGACCTGGAAGAAGCGAACGTCTTTGGGGTGCCCAATTGAACGAATGTGACAGGACCAGCATTCGTTTCCGATCGGAACTTCCGATCCGGTAGAAATGGTCGAACTTACACCAACACGGCGAACGAACACGACCTGCTGTGTTCCTTCGTACGTCTTCCCGTCTTCCCGGTGTCGTTGCGTCGTTACTCGCCGGGAGGCCTTGTGGGAGTCCTTTATGCGGCGCTACAACGATCCCAAGCAAGCGATGGAGGCCGCTCCTGAGACCGGTGCCGCTCGTGAGACCAGCTCGGTCCACCACGAAGCACTGAAAAGCTATCAGGACCCTAGGAATCATTAGACCCGACCACTTCTGGAGGGTTTGGACCCAGAACGCATGGGTTTGGACCCAAAGCTTCACCGAACTGAGGGTCCTTGATTCTTTAGGGTAGTGTTTATATAGGTAATACGGTAATACGTGGTAAGGCTGCATGTTCGAATCAATTTGGCGTCACACATGTGATATGAAAGACTTTTTCGTGTACACGCTGGTTGGACTCTAAGAGTCTGGAACATATTGTTCCACTGGATGGCCGAGGACTCTGAAACCCGTGAACTCCGAAATGAGGACCTTTTGAACCAGACTCCATGAGCCCAGGAACATGCCCTCCTGGTCACATGTTGCACAGCTCTCTTCTGGTCACAAATCATGCGCTTGGGATCAGCCGGGCTGGCCAGGAATCGAAGGAACCGGCTGCTTTTTGAAACCGGACATTCACGGCATCCTGTCCCTACCAGATATTTACTAGTAGCAGGACCATTTTTTGGTGGCCCTTGATTTTGAGACAGACTCAGGAGTCAAGAGCTCATTCAAATCACCCACGGTCAGGTGCTTTGTGGCCAGTTGCTGAACACCCAGCGCTCCTGGCGAGCATCTTGGCAACGCCGCCCAAACAGACGCGACGCGCCTAAAACGCTCTTGACAATCCTGTTAGGCGTCTGTTGTACACTTGCTGCAGTCTTACGGCTGCTTTAGGCTTGAACGACCTACCTTAAAGTCGTTCACAGCTGGGGCACTCGAGAGTTGGGACCGAAACCTTGGACCAGACGCGTAGAGGCGACCTGCGTGGATGGCGTTGTGCTACCAAGTGGTCGTTGCGGTCCGGGCATGTGCCTATGAAGATGTAAGCAGAGGTTCCAAGACAAAGCACAGATCTATACAGATTATATATATATATATATATTTATTATTATGCAATATGAATATGGATGGAAGAAATCATTAAAACCTTACAGCCTAACAGTAGTTGTAAGATAGTTGGAGGCTTCCAGCATTCAATGGTGAATAGTAGTGGCCACCCACCGTCGCCAAGAATCTCCAGCCGGTGTAGGGTCTCCCTGCGTAAGGACTGATGATCGATCTGGCGTGTATGTAAGACATCCAATGGATGTAGCTCATTTTTGTTTCACCAATCTTGAGTCCTGCTTTCTTTGAGAGGTTTTATGTGCGTAAAGTTTCCAAAGGATCAGCACGACCAGCTTCAGACCATCCAGGCACGGTCCCAAGATCCATCCAGTCACGACCGAGGAGAAGGTTTGGGCTCAATTCCTGAAACCCTTAAGACCAGTGCAGCAGGTGCGGGTGACGCAGATGTGGAGCAAGTCAGCGGGGTTGGGAGCGAAGCAATGGGGTGACCAACAAGCGAATTATATAGATCCAATGAAGGGAAGAACTGCAGTACTGAAAGGGAATGGGGTGTAGCCTGTCATGTGTGAAGTTTTTCTCACCCGGATTTTGGCAGGTTTTCCGCTTTCGGAGCAAGCAGCATGGACACGAGAAGTCACATGGCACCTAGAACCCATTTGGTGTGTCCGGGATCTTTTTGGTCGAAAGACGCAGGCATTTTTTAAAGGTTGTTGTCATAGGAAGGAACCAGGAAGACGAGTTGTGAAGCCTTTCAGGATTCTAGGCCTGCTGGGGGGGTTTTGGTCATTAAAAACCAAGGCCCATCACGGAGTGCTGGTTGTGTCAGAGTGGTAAACAACCGCCCTGACGGCCCTGAAAACACCGGCGTGACACACAGACACAGAAGTGCAAGCTGCAACATGGTGTGACATGTATTTGGGGTTGTTCTCCCTGCCCCCATGTGCCTGCCATCCACAGGTCAATCATCCTCTTCGTGATGTGTGCCTGCTCCCTGGCTGTCATGGCACAGAAAGCCAGAAGATGGCTGTGAGATTGGTTTAGCTCAAGAACAATTTGCGGGTAATTGATTACTATAAATATTACAAATTTACCGACTGTGCGCCAATTCTTTAGGTGCAGGATGCTCTCGACTCCCTGTGAATAGCGGATCCTTTGTTGGATTTCCTTGGCCCTTTCAGTGAACACTTTGGGGCCCAAAGGGGTCAGGCAATCCAACAAAGGCACTAACGAAACACGCATCCAATACGCGGTGGCGTCGGGAGCGGCGGCGCCCAGGATCTTTGAGGTAGCCAACCCTACTTGGAACTCTTCGCGCAGCGCCATCAGCACTGTGCAAATACACCCCCTCCTTCCCCCAAAAATGAAAACCAAAACCGAAACGGATCCGAACTCGGGTGCTCCTGGGAGAGGGTCTTTTTTCGTGCAGAACAGGTGCTCCCCAAAACACCCTGTTTTACAGTGGTCTTGAGGCCTCCAGACCACCGGCCTCCAGACCTCCCGACCTCGGGAGAGGACCGGAACCCGGACTGCACGCATGCTTCCTCCGTGCCCCCAAACGGAGGGTTCGAGGTGCTCGGCCCCGGAAGGAGACCCGCCAGACTACACTCCACTTCTCAGATGGGAGGAAACAAGTCACTCAGGTTCTGGCTGATTTGGGGTGAGCTGGGGAACCTTCGCTTCTGCCCGGAGCTCTTGTGTAGCTTGGCCGAGCACCATTGCGAGAAGTTGTTTGGACTTCACCATCCTGTCCATCGCGTGGGTATGGATATGGGACCATCATTGATCCCAGCAATCGCAAGCAAACAGATTTGTTTGGGTGACAAACCAATCACACTTCCAAACAAATCAGCCAATCATCACACGGGGTTCCTTGATTTGTTTGGCTGGATTCAACAAACAACAATCATCACACGTCCAGGTGTTGAATCCGTTTTGGCTGATGAAGGGCAACACATCTTAGTCGTCCAGGTCCGGGGGTCCCGAGGTCGGAGGGTTCGTCGCTTGGGCGGATGAAGACGCTCACCATGGTTGAGGGACCACAGGTTGGTATCAAGTCATTGGTTTGGGGTTAACTAGCCCTGCGATGGATAGGTGGGTTAGAAGTTCACCGGGCCACAGAGCTGCTGCTACTAGTATTTCTTCATAATATTTCCTTCCATCCTCTTCCAGCCATCCCAGGGATGCACCCAAGATTGCAAACAAAATTCATGCTTATTATCAGATCATAGACACATAGCACAGTATAGCTTCACTCGACTTCACTCATATGCCCACAAGTTTTTTTCTTCCACATGTTTTTAAGCAGCATGCTGGCAAGTTGCACTGAGTCGACTCCACCGTCAAGCCGCTGGTTGCTTCGGTTGGACCCGGCCTGGCCAAGGCTTTCTCTTCACAGCAGCCTGTGAGCTTTGCGACAGCTCTTCTGAGATCGCACTGGAGGAAGCCTCTGAGGGGAGCTTTCTGGAAGAGGACTGGGCGGAGCCATTGGGGGGTCTCGCGTGGCACGTGGCACGGGTGCGAAGCGAACACACCCATCGAAGCACCTTTGCAAACTCAACCACACGTTCAGGTGACACGGTGAGGACTAAACAGATCGCAAAGGAAGAAACATAATACAGCAACTGCAACTGCTGCAGGTTTGAGGAGGCATGGGCCATGTTTCCACGCCCCATTTCATCCACCTCCCACCGCCCTCCAGGTGGTCAAGCCCATCTACCACGTCATGGTCACCGAGACCTTCGACCTCCGCGACGGCCGGCCGCCGGTCTTCAAGTTCGGGCAGGCGCCCGCCACGGCGCGCGCCTGCAACTACGACGACTGGAACGAGCTCCTGAGCCGGAGGAAGGTCGGACGGGGCGTCTGAGAAGGGGCCAGATGCTCTGAGGGGGTCTGGGTGGGTTAGACATGTTGCAACACCTCCCACCCAAGAATGCCCAGGACGGCTTACTGGACGCTCCTGTTGCTGGAGTTGAGCTTTGGGAGTTTGAGATCTCAAGAAGATGTATTATAAGATACTTAGTTTGAGGGATGTTGAAGGTTCAAGTAAAGGAGAAGCGTGACCAGTCACACTATCGTCCATGATTCAACCTCTGAGGCTTTTTTGGGATCCTTGGCGCCTGAAGCGGGCACTGCGGACCAAGAGCCTTGTGCAGCATGGGGAACCCGGCAGCCTCCAACCAATCCCTGGACCCTCTGACTATATGAAGAGGTCACAAAAGCATGGAGCTACACTCCACATCATCCAATCTACATGTTCAAAAAAACCGACACCAGAAGCCAACCATAGCTGGCACTTCGCCAGCCCAGCCCACACATCGGCGCACGATAATCTCTGCCGATCATGATGCTCCAACCCGACCTCTCCGGTGGTTTTGTTTAAAGGACGGGTCCAGTGACATCGACCGCCCGGATGACCTCCTCGCGCTACTACCGCTTCATCGACACCTGCCACGACTCCGTGGACATCTGGCGGAAGCTCACGGAGGTCGATTGGACGGAATCGCTGCGCAAGCACAAGCGCCTCGGGCCGCGGAGCTGGACGGACATGAAAAAGGGCGGTTGGTGGGAGGTATTCTTTGTTTTGAAACAATTGTGGTGTCGTCTCTTCTTTGATGTCGTTTGTGTATGGACCATTTTGGTATGGAAATAGGTGGTGTGTGTATTTATATGTTTTTTTTGTTTTCTAGAGGTCTAGAGGATGAATGACCTGAATGCCTGGAATGATGCCTTTGTCTGGTTCACGGGCTCACCTGCGGGGGGCGGCAAAGGTCCTGACTTGTTACTGTCTACTGTAGCTGCTGGTGCAGCCAACTAACCCGCACCTGCGAAGAGCATGACCCGCTCATGCTGCTCATGATCATGCGCAATGCGTGCATGTCATGCTTCGTCCTGCTAGAGTTGGGTTACTTACTCCATGCGATGTCAAACTTCTTATGAGCCAATTTGGAGCCAAGCAACAGGTCAGAATCGATCACAGCCGTGGCGACTTAACTAGTGACCCAGGATTCTCCACCGACAGATGCGATTGTGCCATAGGTCATTTGGTTAATCATCATGGTAATCTTTGGAATTTTTCCGGATGCATTTGGAGCCCTTGGGAATCCTAGGGATATTAGTAAGCTTTGGATTCTCCAAGATTAAAACAAAGCTTCAGCTCAGAACAACGCGTAGGGATCGACATACCTTCTCAGAAGCTATGTGAGCAACGGCTTTTATTTGCGGTAGGGAAGATTAGTGGAAGGGGCGTTCCTTTTCTACTATAGCCCAATGTCAGATTTAGTTTGCAAAACCAGGTAGGAACACCCCGAGAACGAGATGGGCATCAATTTCGCCATTTCTTGGAAATGGTTTAGTTATGTTTAGTTAATGGCATGTTTAGCTGGTGAAACGAGGTAGGAACACCTCTCGAGAACGAGATGGGTATCCATTGCACCAAAACCGATACAGGAATGGAGAACGAGATCACACCCCAAGAATCGATGCTAGATTGGAGAACGAGGTCAGGAAGGCCCATGTGACACACGAACATATGTTCCATCGCTCATGTATGGATCAAGGTGTCGAACACATCAGCCTCTTTCGAGGAGGGTGGATCTTTTGGGGCCCAGAGGGATAGAACAACCGATCTACGCTCTGGTTGGAACCATCGATCGGTCGGAGTTCACCACCTGTTCGATCCAACGGGCCATGCCATGCCATCCACGCCACTATGGTCTCGGGACCGCGGAAGGAACCACGACAAACACCCCGCGGGGCCGGGATCGCGGACCGGCTGTGCGAGCAAGGACTCATTTGGAATTCCACTCGCACTTGCCGTTGCTCATTGGCCACTGGGTCTGTCATAGGCACTGGGTCTGGCACAGTGCGGTGTGGGACGGTGTGGTCAATAGGACCCCCCCCCAAGCCTGCAGATGTTTTGACCATCCAAGCAGGGCGGGCTCAGAGTGGGTGAAAGTGCATCACTTCTGTGGGGTGGTTTCACATATTCTTATTTCAACTGTTACTTGAGATGGTTGATCCCACTCATATTTTTTCAAGTGAGTTGAAACCGCCAACCAGACAGGGTTCTTGTTGGCGGTCCAGCTGGGTCTTCAATTACCCAACCAGCAGAGTCGTATAGAGTTGCTTGCCGCTTTTGGTTGGGGCACGCAAGATGATCCAATTCCACACAGGAGGTTCAATCCATTCAGTGCCATGAAGATGCGTCTTCAAGCAAGACAGCTTGCAGACCAAGGGCCAAATTCAAACACTTTTGGGAGATGAGTTTCCGTCGGGTCGGGGGCTTATCAGATGAACTGTTGGCAGAAAGGGGCTGGGTGTTGCCGCACAGTCTGCACATGCGTTCACGACTTCCGTCTGGTCACGAGGTCTTCTCGGAGGCGAGCAAGCACCACTCATCACCCCAATATCACCCACCAAGCCATTGAAAGCCAGTTGTTGCCAGGCAGACTGGCATACTCTTTCAGAAAAATGCCCTGCTCAGGTAACTACCGGATCTTCCTTTTGCACACTGTGGCCTTCTGCAGCCTTTGCTGCTTTTGGGTGGGCAACCTGGGTCGTTTGCAGGGCCTGGGCGTTCATCTCTGGCGGGACCATGGGTGGCTGATCCAGGCGCCACTGCGAACAGCACGGGCTCCACGGGCGGGAACACAGCGCGCAACACCGCGCGCTCACAGGTCATCGGTTGGAGAAGATCCGGTTGGGGTTGACGAAAAAGTGGTGTGTCTTCCAAGGGATGTGTATTTGAAAGCATGATCCTACGATATCCTACCAAAACTGATGTCCTGTAATTTTAATGGTTATCCCATGATATCCCATGATGTGCTGCTGAGTGTTGTTTGTCGGATTTGGACCGCCTTGGCCCTGGCCAGACTGGCTTTCCCTCTCTTGGCCAGACCTTGGTTGCGTGAGAATAATCATAATGTTGACCAAGCCTGGAGATGTTCTACGTACCATCGGGGGTGGTAAACATGTTATAAAAAGAGTCCATGATGGCAGTGGGTGGGCCGCTGTTGTTGTTGTTGTGGTTGTGGTTGTTGTTGCTGTTGCTAATCTTTTTGTTTGCTGTTTTTGTTCGTCCACGTCTGGGATTGGAATGGCGGTCACAAAGATGGAGATCTTGTGTGTCCCAACCAAACAAATGGTCATTGATGGTTTCTCAACAGTGATTATATAGTGATCGATGCTTTTGCCAATGCTTCTGTCTTTCCATGAGCGCCAAACAGCATGGCAAGCGCAGTGGAATCAACCAAATGCAGCACACAAAAAAAGACCACGAGACCCAGCCTCAACTATTATTACCATATTACTACATATTACTACCACATTGCCATATATATATATCCATATATAATAACCCTTAGCGTGTTCACACAGGGGAATGTTCTGCCAAGTTCCTGGTGTTTTCGTCTTGGGCGCCCAAGTCACCCCGGTCACTGCCGCGATTCGCACCCGAAAAAGCGATTCGTTTGAAGGTTGCGAGGTCCACAGGCCATACCCAAAGGAGAACGTCCACAACTACAACCCAACTAGATTGAACGAATGCGCCGTGGGATTTTTTTCAAGATTTACTTTCACCCCCTGCTGTTGATTCAAAGATGTTCAAAGCATTTGATGTTTGAATAGTTTTGACGTTTTAAAGTGCATGGTGGCTCAAAGAAGTATTCCAGGGGTCATCCAACCTTGGGGAGTATTTTATTGTGAAACTGATGGTTGCTCCGCTCATTTCCATTTGAGAACCGAGAGGTCCACCAAGAAGATCACTATGCAAGTTGAATTGTAGCAAATGTCAGAAATTCTTCCGCACGGTGAATGACATGGTGGAAATATATTTGGAGTCAATGTGGAAGGTGGTCAATTCTTCTTTCGTAGGTCTGTGAGAGGGAGTCCCCTCAAGTCACCTCTCATGCCTTAGCCTTAACCACCCAATTATTGTGAGAACAAACACAAAACACAAAGAAAACACACAAATTAGTAGTTTTACCAATGATTGTCGGGGTAGTTACTCTAGCTCTGACTTCTGACGTGCAGACTCAGCAAAAAGACTGATGGAAGCCGCATAAACATCTTCAACAAATTCTGTAGATTCCTTCAGGATTGTTACACAACCTTCTTCTGGAAAGGGTAGACTTGACAGAGATGCTTTGTACATCTCTGTCCATGCCGCCAAGCCCGAAGGTTTCATTCAGATTGGCCTCGTGTCCATCCTGAGGAGTTTCATTACGCATTGTGACCATCCAAAATAATATCATGGAATCCATAGACCGCTGACTTGAGAATACTTGGTGCTTTTGTTGGTATCTCATCCCAGAATTTGTCAGGCCAGCCTGGGCCTCCTTGCCCCTGCTTGGATGCTCCTTTATCAGATTGGTTTTCAGGCCTGGAAGAACTTTGAGGCAAATGGTTGGCATCAAAGTGGCCTTATGCATCAAGACCCACCCAGTCAGTGTTTGTCATGATTCCAAGTTGATTACCAGGAACACCTTCTCTTGGGGAATCTTGAGGCGCTTCCCCTGGGGCGTTTGAGAGGCTTTGCTTTTTCGGCAGAAGTCCAACGCAAAAAACCTCTTCAGATGGCCCATGAGCTCCGCCATCAGTTCCATTTCGGCGCCTCACCTGTGGAGGTGATTGTCAATTAAGAAGCCTCACCTGTGAGGTGATCTGGTCGGGGTGTTCATGAAAACCACCCAACTCCTCCTTTTGGATCGGTTGGACCGGTGGGGGACACCAATTGGATCCAATTGGAGCTGGACTCCAAGATCGACCTGCGAACTGTGGGAGTGGAGTTCAGGGGTGTGGCTCCAAGTGCAATCCATGGAGAAGAAACTCCAGCTGTGTAAAGGGCAGAATAAGGCAAAATGCCTGTATGTTTGGGAAGAAAAATGGTTTGAAAGCTTTGGGAAAAGACATCCAGCAAGGCTTGTCAGTAATCCAACTCCGCGAAATGTTTCAAGACATGCTACATCTAAGCAGGTTTTCTCCAACATGCATTTCAGGGAGCTTCAGAGGAAAGGCCTCAGCATCTTTGCGCCAATCATTCCATTTCCTCGTCACTCTTGCCACGACGCCTGGGCAGGCGCTCACACCATGCCTGGCGAGACGAAATCGATTGAGGGGCCTGTTACAGCCACCTGGCAGAGCAGAGCAGACCTGGAATGGGTCTAAGAAGAATCAAACGTCATGAAACATCTCTTGATAGACTTTCGACTGTGTTTTTGGGAAGACCGAAGACCATCCAAGCCTGCAGCTTTAATCCGTTCAGGCACAGATTGGGCTCAGATTGAATGCGAAGGTTTGAACCCCATCTTCTTTCAAGGATGAACACCACTGAAGCCCAGGTTTGCTAATGGTGAACCACCAGCACCAGCCAACCAGCTCACGCAGGCAGCGGATGCACCTATTGACACCGGTGGCCCACGAGGCTCATTTGCATCGATCTCCTCCCCGTGATCTCCTTCGTAGCTCTGGTGTGGCAACACGCCCAGCCTGAAGGCACAGGGGGTGCCCGAGAATGGAACCTGCAGAGATCACAGTGGGTGAAAGCAACTGATTGTTGCTTTCTGTGCGGGGAACAGCTATTAAATTCATCTATTTTATATTGTTTCACATGGCTTTATTGTTTTTTGGGCTCCACTCATTAGACACCGGTAGAAGCAGAACTATCAAGTCATGATTTAGCTACGTTTTGAGACGCACCATGACACAAACCCATGTTTTGTTTGAAGAATCACATGAATTATGAAACGTGGCAGGCATTTGGCTGCCAGGCCAGGCTGAGACTTGATACCGGCCCAACCGAGAGCTTCAAATGAAAACTGAGCTTGGGACGGGGGAAATAAACCCTGAGCAGAAGGGACACGGGATCCACACTGGTATGAGGAGAAAGGTCGAACAGATCCATTTGGGATCTGTTTGAGTTACAGATCCATGAGTCAGGCGAGTCTTGTCATGACCAGGCGAGTTCATGGCGAGTTGCAGTGTCGGAATTGCTCCGCAGGTGTCTCACAAAGATTTCGTTACATCCCATGGCTGACACTTGGTGGCAGGTTTTGCTGGGAGAGTCATCATGGCAAGTGGTTATTAGCCTGGCAGCATGGCTACATGTTTGAGTCATTAATTTGTAACCATGGGATAGTTTAGCAAGCAGAAAGAGCTGGCAGTGTTGATTGCATGATTCGTGCATGCCGAGCATGCCACTCGTGCACCATCAAGATGGGATTCTTTAAGAAAGAGACCTTTGACAGACGGAACCCGCCTGAAGGTGGTTAGTTGCCGGGCCTGGAGAGGGGCTTCAATACAAGCCCTTGGCCTTGGACCAATCAAAGTCTTCAGAAGCAGAAAACCGACTCTGGCAGAAACCAAAGAAACACTAATCAGTTCAGATTTGTTGCTGATACCATCCCCAAGAGGTGAAGTGAAATGTCTACAGCAAACCGTTGGACGCTCAGGAAAGTGCCAACCTTTGATGTGCTCCTTGTGATCCACGTGTTCTTTTCAGCTCCTCAGCTGGCACCGACTGCCCCAGCTGGCACCGGCAAGACCGGAATGGCTCCGAGATCCGAGGTCTGAGGTCACAGAGCCATTCGAAAGGGTGGGAATGCTCCAAGTTGAATTGGTCCAGTTTTCCACCAGTTCCACGTCGTTCCCCCGAGTGCGAAGGGACCCTAGGGGTGTCAACATGCACTGGATGGGACTGAAAGAACAATCATTCAATACTCACTGTATAGATTGATGTTGGGTCTGTCCAATTACCTGTAGAGCCGTCGGTAACAGGTCGAGTCTTATATCACTAAGGCCTAACCACCATCATCCGCTTTGATTGGTAATTATGGGATAGACCGATAGAATCCGGTAGACTCAAGGCCTCATTGATTGTTTTCTATATCTCCTCTGCATTTTCTTCGGTTCACTGGATAGGGTTGTGAGTGTTTTGATCCCTAGGATGTCCTGCCACTAGATTTATTCTCTGATTTTGACATGGTTTGAACATGGTTCCTATCTGATAGGGACAAAAAACCACTTCCCGGTAGCGTTTTTTTGTTTCACCCACCCGCAATTGTCCACCCGAGCCGAAACCACGTGGCACCGGCTCTCTTGGCTAACTCCCCACGGAATGAATTGGGGTCATGGCCAAGAGAAAATGGACGAAACGTAAATTCTGCAACTGTTCTATTAGAGTTAAACATGAGGTCTATACTGTGCTTTACTTGCTTTGCATGACCTGTTTGACACACCCGCTCAGACCATCAAAACTCCAACAAACTCGTATCCGTGTCTTCAAGTTCCTGACTTCCGCTCACCCAGTTCACTTCGCGAACCGACCACCACGGCGCCAACAAACCGAGCGCTCTGAGGTCTTCATTTTGATTTTGGCCTTGGGCCCCCGATCAGACAACTTGTATCGCTGGAAGTTTTATCCAACGATGTCCAGACCTGCCCCCTGGACGATGTTCAGAGCGGGGGGGCGAAACTCCTGCGACACGCCACAGCGAGCGAGACGCGTTCCACGACGCGACAGAGAGAGAGAGAGAGAGAGACACGCGAAAACGCGGCGGAGGGTCATGTGATGAGCGACATGTCCATGATAAGACCCACACTCCAGTAGCTGGAGCAAACGGGTCACCGGAGCTGAAGCTCCGGACGCTCCGGATCACCGGATTGGTGCTGAAAACGGACTCTCCAGAGCTGAAAATGGACTCTGTGGTCCTCCGAGGATTGCATTCCCAGTGGTGCCTTCTGGCTACTCACTGTGGCCCTTTGGTCCTTCTTCGCATCCAGTGGTACCCGCTACTGCAGCCAAGCCATGTTGAGGACCGCTATTTTTGAGTCACAGACAATTAGATTCCACAGCCAAGACCCAAGGTACTGGACCTTTGTATTTGGGGGACCATGACCAATTTTCTTGGAGTAGGGTCCAGGTAGATATGGCGGAGTCTCGCGAGGAACATACACCCCAGAAACCAATAAGACTGCACAAGAAGCCTTTGATTTGGGGGTGGTCTCCCAAGACTCTCAACGAGTTTATGCCCAAGAGCTGCACAGCCGGAAGGAATTGATGGTGCGGTTCAGACGTTTCGCTGTTTGACACCCAATGGACATATGGATAGGTAAGCTTGCGATCATAGACTTTGCTGTTCTTGTCGATATTTGCCAAAACAAAGGAGAGGTTCCCACTCCCTTTTGGAAGAGTTTGGGGCTCAAAGCAGTTGGTTATATAAGTTATATATTCAGGCGATGCCAACACATCCCAAACTATACATAAGATTTGTGAATCAATGTTTCAGTGTGAACTGGTGGGAAAGTGGGTGAACCTCAGCTCGCCCTTTTGTTCATGCCCGAAATACCCTGGTATTTGTGGTGCAGACTCCCTAGTTATGAATCACAGTCAGTTGTGAGAATTTGGTTTCAGGCATGTTACTGTAAGACTCACTTCAACATCAACGAAAGTGGAAACTCCCAATGTGACGGCACCATGCAATGTATCACAGAGATTGCAGGGGCAGGTATTGGGTCACCATCCTATAGTGAAAAGGACAGGTGTTCGACCTTTCAACAATTCGACCAGCAGCTGCTGGTCTTTCATTGAATTCGACCTTTGCGCATTCCGCAGCCACGCCGACGAACCGCCGAACTGATCTGAGATGCTCCAAACTTTGGACAGCCCTTCTCGTGTGGATGAAATCACCATGAAGTCGGACGCACATCCCGAGGGATGTGCGAAAAGAAAGACGAAACATGTACCGGTCAGGACGAAACATGCAAACAGACTGAAAAAAGCCTAACTTGAGAGGATGGGCCAACATCTCCTTGAAACATTTAACATCTTGTAAAATTCCATTGTAGGCGGTGTCTTTCTCAGCCGCGGCCGTTTGGGCCGTCGTGGCTCTTTTTTGTCCTTTTTGTTTGCCTCAAATGATGCTGTCCTCACGCCTCCATCGGGAGGATTTGGGACATGTACGACTCCATTGGGCTTCCTTTGCCCTACTTGTTGGGCGTCCTCACCACCATGGTCATCGTGCCGACCGTGCTAGCATCTTGAATCAAAACGTCGATACGGTTGGTTTGGGAGGGCTGGAAAGCCACGGGACTTCCTCTTCGGTCTCTACCAAAGAACTGGTTTCGCCACAGTTCTGGCCGAGTATGGATCTCAAGAGCTGAAAAACACGTGTAAGATCCATTCGGGGGCCCCTGATCAGTCAAGGTGGGAACCGCCAAGATGGAGATCACATGATATCCACGGCTGGCTGTGGCACAGATCCCACTTTCAATAGGCTGGCTAGCAGCGGGACATTAGTGACATAGTGGGACAGATCAGCTTCAGAAATGCTGAGTCGACCGTCTGAAACTCTGGATGAAGGGAAAAGACCCAGAACCGACAGCGCCACCGATTGGCAGTTTTTTGGACTTGGACGACTCATGATCCAAGTTTGGGAAAACTATCCCTTTTTAAGGACTTTGGTGTTTTGCAGGGGGTGCTACATCTTCAAACCCGATTGTTCAACGGGTAGATCAAAGTGTTGCTTGGGAGGGTGCCCTCAAGGCCTTTCCAAGTTGAGAGTATACATTTTCTTCCACCTATCTTCACTGATATCTACTCATGGCACAACCTAGATACCCCCGAAAAAAGATGGCGCTTTCAGAGCTGCCGGAGCTGAGCTGCAAGCCGAGCTGCAGGTCTTCTTCAGCACTTTGTGTTTCTTCCTCACCTTCTCCATTAGCCTTGTGGGCTCTGCCGTGGGCGCTTATCGACTGGGTGGCGTGCGCTTAATGTGCACTCGCCGGGGCATGGGCCACTTGGAGGTGAAGTCAGTTCGATCGGTCAATCCGTGGAGGGAGGCTGGTGTCTCCTGGACAGTCTCAGGTTTACAGCTTACGCTCATGCATGGTGCGTAAGCTGTGCGTAGGGTTCAATTTCCACATTCGCCGCTTGAGCGTCTCTCTTCAAAGTATGCTTGTCATGTTTGCTCAACACAGATTAAGCATGATAAGTAAGATGTGTGCAAGATCTTCTGCGACCTCCTTCGCACGTACGCTCACATTCACATCACTTCATGTGTTCAGACAGGAGTCGGAGTCGGAGTGTAGACGACAGATTCTACCGACAGATTCTACCTTCCATCCAACGTCTATAACCAGGAGCTCGTCGACCAGCCAGGAGCCTTAGACCGGAGCCGTCCAGCTCTTTTGGACCTGTGGGTTCACACGGTGTCGGTCGGCGAGCGCGGTCTCGGACCGCGGAGGCCTCACCTATTTGCCTGAGACCATCGTGGGAAGGTTGCTGCATTTGCCACCCCATCCCAGCCGTGAGACGGGGCTTTGGGAACGCTTCTCTTGGTGGAGGCGGCGTGGAAGGGCAGAGGGTGGAACGGCGTGGAACGGCGTGCGTGAGGAAGGGTGGCAACGGGCGGCAAAGGGCGTGCGAGATGGTGTGAGGAAGGGAAGAGGGAAGAAGAGGGAAGAGCTGGGACTAATGCATGGTATGTGCATGCAATTAATAAGTATTAGTTGGAGCCTCCAGGGCCTCCGTATATGGGTGTGTGTTCTCATAGGGGGACCACAATCAGGGTTTGGTCTATGTCCCTTCTTTCCAGTCCGGGGAGGCTTTGAAACTTTGGGAGGTTTCCCTATTAGATACAAACCTGTTGATTACAGGTCTCCCTATTACAAATCTAACTCCCCAAGCAGAAAGACCCCCCCCTGATCTATCTAGTCTCTCTATTCTATCGTAGATGGATTAGGGGGACTTTCTGGTTAGGGATGAATTACCCTTAATGAACCAACGAGCAGTTGCAGAAATTTGGAGGCGTGTTTTGTTCAGGTAGGAAAGGCCCTCCTGCTCGCAAGCTGACAGGCGCATGTCGGATCGTGAGCTGGAGGCTGGTGACTGGATAGGGCAGCCGATGTAGAAAACGACTATGACTAGGTTTCCCATACTTGTCAAAGGGAGTAACTTAAAAACACACCAAAACGATTCAAAACTATCATCCGGATGTCAACGCGTGCACGTCCTGGCGACACCTTGAGCACTGCATTGTACCTCGTGTACTTCTCCGTTTTGATGCGTTCTCACCGCATCGGTCGACTGCGCAGTCTTTGATGGCTTCGATCAAGCACCACATGGGGTCCTCTGGGGTCAGGTAGGATGAAGCCTGGGTGACCGACGTAGAAGATTCGAGAAGTTCAAGACTCCACGGATTTCCACGGATTTTTCGAGAAGTTCATTTACATTTACCTTACAAGACTCTGGAAAAGTACCTTGAGATCGGATAGTCCAGCCATCAATCCTAGTTTAATCCTGCCATGTGGCAGCCCCCAACTGGAAACCAATCCCGCAGGCCTTTGTGGATGTGTGGAACAAGTTGCTGCAGGAGCGCATCTCTTCACAGACATGGCTCAACGTGGAGTTCCTAAAGCGCCAACTGGATTGACTGGTGCTCCAAAGAATCCAGCAGTGATCCCAATCTCATCCCGTTCGATGGGCCACAGGCTTCAACCATTTTCGGAGAACCAGTGAGTTGGATATTTTAGGAGGACCTGTTGGGGAAATGGATGGAAACGGCCTGCCATTCCCATTGCCGATCTAAGAACCCAGACAAGACTAACTGAAAGATGCGCCGATCAGCTCCGGGTGGTTTCCATAGGGTCGATGGGGACGGCATATGTACCCTGCGTTTAAAACGATTGTCGGACTCTGAAAACCACAGGTGCCATTCGACCCGGGTCCATGTTAGTTTCCCTTTATATAGAGTGTAATTACATATACACCCTTTGAACCAAAGTACTCGTTAAACTTGTTCGTTTGCAATTGATTCATATGAACGTACTTGACTTTAAAAGATTGTACTTTACTTGTCTATAAGCACCTCTAAGTCGACATATATATATATATATAAACAACCAGTGTTGGAGGTGGCTCGCTGGAAAAAACCATTTGGTCTGGTTGCTTCAAGGCTTGGGTTCACCTGAAAACCATGAATTTGGTCTGCATATGTTTTTTCAAGGGACACAGCAACCCCCATGAGACAAGAGATGAGGCATACTTGATCCTTGGGGCTCTTGAGGTCCCTTTTTCTTGGAGGACTCTCAAATCCAGCCAGCTGGTTCCCTAAGACCTAGCCCCGAAGCATGAACAGAAGCGGCCCTTCATCGCAGCGGAGGGGTTCAGGCGGGAATGTATGGCACAGGATCTATACAGGTACGATCGACATATGCACCTGTAAAAAGATCGTCATGCTCATGATGCCTGAAAGATGCACCACTGCCTGAAAGAGACAGTTTTTTCCAAAGACTATGTGCAGTGAGTGGTTAGCAGGAAACCAACCATCAATTGCAACAAGATCTAGGATCACAGGTGCCAAACTTGGACGGGCTTCTGCCACACTCCAGCCACACAGGCCAGAACCCAGATCCAGGCCCTGGCAGCGCCGGCCCCAAAATTGCACCCGGCGCTCGACAGACTAGTTCAGCCCTAATTCATCCTTATTAAGGCCAAATTAGTGGACAAATAAGCCCCTCATGTCAGAAGTCACCATACTCCAACGGAGGGCGCACTTCTTGTGAGAAAGCACAGTTGGTCATCACTCAAGACTAGCCTGACTTCTGACACACTTGGCTTCCATAGCTCAGGCTCTGTGGGCAATCTACAGGAGGTCCTTGGTTCGAATCCAGGTGGAAGTATTGCCTAATCAGCCCCTATTAGCGCCAAATTAATGGACAAATAAGCCAAGTGTGTCAGAAGTCAGGCTAGTCTTGAGTGATGACCAACTGTGCTTTCTCACAAGAAGTGCGCCCTCCGTTGGAGTATGGTGACTTCTGACATGAGGGGCTTATTTGTCCACTAATTTGGCCTTAAAAAGGATGAATTAGGGCTGAACTAGTCTGTCCAGCGCCGGTGCAAGGTGCTGCCAGGGCCTGGGTCCGGGCTCTGACCTGTGTGGCTGGAGTGTGGCAGAAGCCCGCCCAAGTTTGGCTGGCTGGTGGCTGGCTTCAAAGCTCCCTAGCGATGCCATAGTAGCGGAGCCCTGGTCAGCAGCACGGCCAAGCCAATGACTCCTACCGAGACAGGTCTTGTTGGCCCCCCCCATGTCCTGTGACCACTGGCTGAGGATCGAGACACCAAGCACATTGCTTGTTGGGGAATGACTCCACTGTTCTAACAGGTCCTGCTGGCCTGACTTCCTGACCAACAAAGGTCACCGCCGCTTGTTTCGAGCGCTTGGAAGGGCTCTGCCACGCTCCAGCCACGCTCCAGCCACACAGGCCACTGCCCGGACCCAGGCCTGCTCCGTGCTCGACAGCTTAATTCTGCCCAAATGCGCCCCTATTGAGGCCAAATTAGTGGACAAGTACGCCCTTCAAATCAATAGGGCAGTCTCACAAGCAAGGACGCCACTAGGGGCTCCTGGCATCGCAACTAGGAGCAGGGACGGCACTAGGGGTTCCTGGCATCGCTACTAGGAGCAGGGACGAAAAGTTTCCTGAAGCCAAGCCAGGGTGAGGTATCCTGACTTGTTTGGGACACGAGTGGCATTGTGAAGTTTTGGTGATAACGCCTGTTCTTTCCAGACCGCCCAGGATAAAGGTAAACACACTCCAAGGTTCCAGCAAACCGTTTCCATTCATTCACCAGCATATCAAACAATAAAGGGACAGGCTGGCGGGGCATCCATACTCCAGAATGGAATCATGTCCCCTATTGTTTGAGTTGTGTGTGTGTGTGTGTGCTAGTTCGTAGTGCTGACTGCGAACTCTGGCGCTCCCATCAACTTTGCTCAAATCCAGAAATTGTTCACCAGGACAGGCTAAGAATGGCTTCTTATCCTGTTTCCTTATTAGGGCCTTAATCGAGCTAAATCTTTATCAAAATCGGACAAAATCCACCAAAACAGCACTCATGATCCAAAAACCCTTATTAGTGCCCTAAATGAGCCCGGGTGTTGCGGACACCGTGCAACGTAAACATTGGCGAATCATGGGCTTATTTCTAGCCTATTTGGTGTAAATCAAGGTTTGCACTAATTTGGCACTAATTTGGGTTGGGGGGGGGGGGGCTGGGGGGGGGGACGCATGGATTCACAGGTGTGGGTCATGTGCCAACACTGCTGAACAAGGAGCCTATGAGACCGCGTGGCCTTGGATGATGAGGATGATGGTGCCTTCTGCATGATTGGGCGGTTCATGCTAACCTCCAGGGCTTGTCAGCTTGTAGAAGATTAAGGACCGGACGTTTGTGGAAGACTTCATCGCAGATGTTTGGGTGCGTGGTTCTCTTTCTCTCCAGCTTCGATTTTTTAGTTTTTGCCTCATCGAGATCCAAGGCATGCCTTGTGCACCTGGTTTGGATTGTCGGAGCGTGCTGGGCCGCTTTTTGATTCGGGCTTGCAATTAGCGCTGGGAGTAGGATCAACTGCCAAAACCTCCGATGAAGGCAGCATCCATCTAGAATTGAAGGAAACCAGGAAATACATATCATATCATGATCACGTCTATGTACGGACTCCCCCACGCCAAGCTCACAGCGACACATGAAAAAGGACGCCCGGGCTCCAGCTTGTGCCATATTCTATCCCTGTTCTCGGTGGTTCCAATCCCTACCAGATCCGCCCTTGCGCGCTATTGAAACCCCTCTGGCTGCGGGCCAGGCAAGGACTATGACTACCCAGGAACGCTGTGTCGGCGCTGGGGGGGCATGGCCACCATTAGTGTTCCAGCATCATGCTTGGGTCCCACGCAGTAGCTTTTGCAAGGTCCCGCGGAGGGATGCTGGACACACATGCAGCACATACAGGCACATACACATGTACAAGAGGTCAGGCACGATGCGTGGCACGATCGATATCTGCATACAAATTCCAGTACGCTAGTACGCTAACGGGCTTTGTAACCAAAGGTTCACAGAGTGCGAACTTGTTAAGTGCAAGAAGATCATCTGAAGCTGCTCAGGACTGATGCAGAGGCCAGATCGATTCATGATGCTGAAGTTGACGCAGCTGGCTCAGCACCTGGGGTTCCACCTGGTCAGCAGGGTTTTCCCCTGCAAGTGTTGGGTAATTGGCAAGCATGGCATTTTTTGGTAGCAGGGTTTTCACCTGGTCCCTGGATTGCTTCTGCCATGTTCCACAGACAGACTGCGGCCAGGCGGAGCCGCGTTGCATGGCTTTTGAAGCCGAAGCTGCACATGTTCAAGCATATGCTCAAGCGATGCTTGCGGTGGCGACTCTTAGCTGCTGTTCACAGTCACAGGGTTCCATCCAGATCTTTGCCAGGATCTAGTACAGGTCAATCAATGACCTACATCTAGTACAGGTCTTTGGACTTGAGATCATTTGGCAATTGTACAGCCAAGGACACAACACCAGACATTGGGATGCTTCTCGGAGGAGGACAGCGTCGCCGTGCTCAAGCATGTCGCCAGACACCTTTCGGGCCAGCAGTGCGAGAGCTACTTGATGAAGGTGGCACGCTTGACGCTATTTGGCTCAACATAGCTACGATGCATGTGCAGTGTACTACATGCATATGTTTATGTGTGGTGCACTGTAATTAAGGTTGAAGGTTGCAAAACAACGTATGCGGAGGACCAAGTGTTTTGAATGAAATGAGTGTCGCATTGAGACAAGGTGTCCATGCATGAATGAAACAATTTTGGAAGATAAATTTGGTGTTTCCGATGGAGCGTGTTTACAGTTGAAGTGATATACGCCGCAGGATCGACATGGTGGCTGCGTGGAAGCGATGATCGGAGCAATGCTTAGAAAAAGTGCTCGGAGGGCGGGTGGGCAGAGTTAGGCAGTTTAAGTTGTCCATGTCAACATGTACTATAGTTAAACCAGTCTCCCGGGTCCGCAGAGACTGTAATATCATAATTATACCATACATGGAGTGTTCGGGTAATAAGCCTCTGATGTATACTTCTCTTGCCATGTTTCAAAAAATTGGCAAGAATAGCTCGGACGTCTCCTCCTTTTCAAATTTCCGTAACTTGCCATTTTGCCCGGTATGGAGATCACAAAAACCTATCCATCTAACATTGTCTCACTCATAGAATGATTGCCTTTCACTAGCAGCTGCATGATTAATAGAGGGGATACCCCGGTCGTGTACAACCAGGCCAGGTATGCCTGGCACCGACCCCTCATTGGTGTCACTTTCACCATCTGTTTTGGGCATGCAAACCACCGGCTCACGAGGTCACCAACTCCGCCCTTTCACTCACTGGCCATGCCTTGCAGGAGCTCCGGGGACGAGACCTCGTTTGTGACCGCGAGTTGGAGTTCCTCTCCTTCAGGTGCGCCAGAGTTTGTTTGCTCCGGTGCGCGGTCTGAGTGAGCTTGGTAGGTCCGGTGCACGGCACGAGTGCGTGCAAGGACGCGCGACGCGTGTGGTTTCAGGGATAGATAGATCTGCAAGCACGAAACAGATGATTAGTAATGTATAATCGGTATAACAATACTCTATATATTCATCCAGTACAACACTTACCCCACGCGGGTTTGATTCAATGGCGAACATCAGGCAGCCCGGGTTCAACGAAAAACACTTGTGTTTTTTTCTTTAACTCACAGTGATCCCTGTGCATTGATCGCTTTGATCAATATAACCCTTACCCGTACCCCATCTTACCCCCCCACTCGCCCCTTTGGCTGGCGGAAACATTGTCCACCAACCTGGTCGCCGCGCGTTTGATGCGTCGCCCAGGTCCACCCAGGAAGCCTTTCAAGGCCACGTGCCGAGGCTCTTTCAGGCATTTGGGCCAACACTTGTTGTGGGGGGGCCGCCGATTAATAATTTATAACGAAAGCATCAAGAAGTTCAACCCATGAAAACAACAGTTGATGGAAACAAATTTGAAAACCAGTTCAAGTTTGATTGACCTCTGATCTCCCATCGTTGTAGTATGACAGTTTTTTGTAATTGTACCTTTGAAGGAGATTCCAGATGGTGTTCTGGGTGGTGGTGTTGTCAGTTCTGTTTATTTTTGAACCCACTGACCTGGGATCGTTGAATCCACTGACGCATCTTTTTCGTTCGTTGAAAACCACACACCAATGGAGGGCTGGATCTCCGTGGAGTCACTCGGGACGAGCGAGCTGAGTTGTCCGCGGTGCACAAGACCAGATGATCCCCAGAAGTACGAACATGCTGCGCCTCGCAAACCACCTCACCCCCTTAAAAGAAAATATTACTGTATATATATATATATTATATACTCTATGCTTTGAAAAGAAATTGAAGACCCCTTTGAACATATATGAATATCGACATGTACAATGAACAAATGATTCCATTTTTGCTCTCTTTTTCGATGTCAAGGCCCCAATCTGCCGCACCGAGGCCCTCAGCCTCCGGGCCACGTTGCCGGCCAACGGCGAGGCGCGGCGGCGCATCGTGTCCTTGGCACGGTCCGTGCAGATGGATCCGTTGCCGAAGGCCAAGGTGGCTCGGTGTTGGACGGAGAGGCAGGGAAGTTGGGAGGATTGAAGAAGATAGAAGATCTGGGGATCTGGATTTTGAAGTAAACTCTTCAGTGCAGTGTAGCCTGCAGTTTCCTTTTTGTTTGTTGAATTTCACGTGTTTGGACAGGACAGGTCGATGACTTACTTCAGAGGCTGCTGAACTCGCTGCTGAACCGGCTGAATCGCTAAGAGATCGGTTGATCGCCAGGATGAGCCGGCGCCACAAGCCCGACTCAGGTGATGGACATGCCCACGCTCTCGGTGCTGATTCCTCACTATTCGGAGACGATTCGCTATTCCAAGAAGGATCTGAAGGGCGGGTCCCTTGCGAAGAAGGGCAGATGCGAATCGATGTTCCAAAAAGTGATCCCAAACTGGGATTTATATAGTTCTGCAGTAATGAGGTGATACTTCCTCAACGAGATGATTGTTGGACATGTCAATTTCACTTTGCAGGTCAATCAATGTTCAACTCGAGAGCTTGTGTTGTTAGCTGACTTGACATCGCTACCGGCTGCATCCGGCTGTTTCAACGGTGGGAGGACCTCTTCTCAGATGGCGTCTCCAATGATTTGCTGAGGTTCTTAATCAAGTACTACAGACACTCGGTTCGGTTCACGTTCCCTCCTGCGTTTTCTTGGGCTGAGACGACATACCCCAGCGCGGTTTGCCAAAAGGCACCGTTCAATGAACACCAAGACGCGCACTGTTGCGCACACGGTGGTGCTCAGCGCAGGTCACGAGGTAATTACTCTTGCCAATTTCACATCTGTTGTTTGTGAGTTCCTACAAGTAGGTCCTGGTCTTGTAGAGCCTGAGTGTTGTTCTAGTCACCGTTGTAGGCGAGTCAACAACCTTGCTCTTGCAAGCCTTTTCATGTTCCTGGCCGCCAGGCAGGTTGGACGTGCATTAAGCACGATATTCTACTGCAAAACTTTACATGCAAGAGCACATACTGGCCTTCAAAAAGAATGATGTGATTGACACGGATTGACCCTCAGACAAAATGAGAAAAAAAGGGACCCACATACCCTCAAGAGAAGGTGGACCGGGAGTGTCTCAAACGAGTTCGGGGGCGTAAACCCTGATCACTGGATCCCTTCAAACCGCTTTGGCTGACCCTGTAAACTACGTAAACTAGCTGCTCATCTTCTGCTGGCAGTGCTCCCGGTTCACTTTCCGAAGCTTCGTCTTCCTTCTGCGGACTTCCCCGCGCCGCACCTCCGAGGGGACGAGTTCCGGAACTTCATCGAACGATTGGAGGCCAACGACTTGGCCTTTGGTGCCTTGGTCGGCCGACGACTTCGCCGACCGCCCTGGGTGGGGACCGACAGACGAACGGTGGCCCTTGTGCGGAGCAGAAGAGACCGCCCCATGGTCACTGTCGTGGTCCTCGTATGTCCTCGTTTTGGTTTGGAGTGGGAATACACAAATGCTAGAAAAGAGATGATGAATAGAATATGACGCCTCCAAGAAGTGTAGATTAGGAGGGCAAACCAATCCTTATGGAATCTCTTTTCCTTCCCTGCTGTCAGCCACCGTTTTGTGTTCTGCCTGGCGCTTCCACCTAGGCAGCCACGGCTTGGAAGCTGCCCTTTGCGAATGGGCCTCTTTGCGCATGCAGACCCTCTGGCGAACGGTCGATGGCATTTGCGGCGCCTATGCCCATGCACTGGACGTCGAACTCGTCGACGAAGACGGTTCGTGTGCGCCCAGTTCGACGTGGTGCGCCCAAGAAAAGTGATCTGCCATGTTGGGGTTGTACCTGTCGTTCAGGTTTTCAAGATGGTCTTTGGCCCTTTGGCTAAGTAGTTCAGCAGTTCAGGTGTTGCTCAACAAGTGACATCTAAACCAACTTGCCCCCTCAAGACCACCTCAATGTAATGGACGGTTCATGAATAAGAGCCTCCATGTGATTCCATAAGAAGAGGTTTTACAATTGGTTATTAATAACCAACCTACATTAGGCCAATATAATATATATATATATTATATTATAGAATAGAATATAATAGACATATAATACATGGATTCTCTTGGAGTTGACGCCCCGTGCTTGGCGAGGAGATCTTGTCACAGTACCAGGCCCCAGAGCAGCACGGCACCAAAGCTGCGGTGCGGCAAAGGCCGCGCCCGGGGAGCGGTCGATCGCTGTGGTTGGAAGCGCAGTGTTGGACGTCCAAGAAGCTGTCCAAAGATGTTCAATCAGTGTGGGTGATGGAACCAGACTTGGAAGAGCCAGAAAGAGTTTGATATGATGTTATTTGTTTGGCTCTTGTACGTTGGGATTGGTTTAATTCCTTTTTGGTTTATACAGTCAATGAGCAGCACCTGGTGTATGTAGGTTCCATGTTCACTTCCAATGTCCAGAAATTCAATATCAGTAACACTCAATTGTCAATGCCTTGCAGTGAAACATGTTGATTTCTCGCGTTCCGGGGCGAGACAGTCAGACAATTTCCTTAGACTTTGGACGAACGGTTGCTGATGGCTGCTGATGCCAGGACTTTCATGAAAGACACCACACAAGTAGTGGCTTCATGAAGTGAAACCGCGTGAAGTTATTGGTGAGACGCATGTGGGCTGCCTGTTTTTTTGCTGCAGCCAGCAACCCATGCCCCTTTTCGTGCAGGTTGCAGGTGGTCGTGGCAATGCAGCAGAGCCTTGGCGTTGTTGCAGGTGGTGACCTGGTGTTGATGAGGCAGAGCTATGCACAACCAGGTCAGGGACTGCTTCCTTCTACAATATCTTCTTCTTCCATATGGGTGCGGCTCAAGAATCAAGACCCAGCACCTGCAAGTGCTGGTTGAGGTGCACTTTATAAGGCTTTTGGGTGGCACCCTATTTTGTAGCCAAAGCTATATCCCTTGATTGTAGTGAGGAGAATTAGGCTGCCCAAGCATGATGTGCATGACAGTTGGCCCATCAAAAACACAAATACTTCCAGCTTTGTCAATCTATGCTGCATGATGCATACACGCCTTGGAAATTAAGAATGGTGCTCCCTGAAAAGCAAACTCTGTTAAGACAGATAGAAGGATTTTGTGCTCAGAGGCCGGTGATAGGCCCGAAGCAGGAGCCTCCAAATTGAGATCATCAAACAGTCCAATAGCAAGAAAGAACTAGCAGCTAGCATGTGTCTTTCCAGTATGCAACAATACAACACACAAGTCCACACACACACATATTTGTATTATGGACCCTGTTGATGCCTACCAGTGACAGTAAACAGCCACGACAGGCCCCAAGTGGTGATTACAGCTAACAAGCAGCTTTCATTTACCCAAGCCTCTCTTGCAAAAACATGCAAAAACTACATCTAGGATAAGAAGGCCACTCAACAGTATACACACTTATATACATTACTTATGATAGTTATGTATTATGCAATGTATGCTACAGATTGATACAGTGATACAGTATGAAGGAGCTCAAACAATGTGAAAGAAACACACAAACAGATTAAAACAACACACACCAAGGAAGATCGATCCGTCTCCCTCGCGGTTTCACGAGGTACGCCAAGTTCGCAGACCCCACGGGCCCGGGCTTCAGCCCCCAAGAGCTTCAAGCCGTGGAGGCACGAGGGGTGACCGAGAGGGGCAATCCATCTCACTTGGGTGGTGGTTTCAGACCGTTTTCTTTCATACATGATACATGTTTTTTTTCAACCTATCCTTGGGATGATTGAACCGTCTTTTTTTTTGTGAGTTGAAAACACCAACCAGTTACCAGTTCCACTTTATGGGATTCCAATCCAGAAACAACGACCTTCAGACACCCTTTACAGCTAATTGTTGTCGGGATCAGAAAGTATCACTTCGGGGGGTTCTCCCCCAGCTGGTTTGAGTTCAGGGTTATTCAAGTGCTTTGCTTTCTTGGATGGATTTTGTAGTGTTTGCAGAAAGACTGTAGGGCAAGATGCACCTGTATATAGAACAATTCCTCATCTGATGCCCAGCGTGGGCGCGACGACGATATGATGAATTGAAAGGGACCCCAAAGTGGACCTCAGCGCAGGGTTTTCTTCAAGATCCATGGTGCGTATTTTTTTTCGGCCAACCACTTTTTGTGTTTTCCGGGCGGTGCCAAAAACGTCCCGAGTGAACGTACCCATCTTTTTGCATCGCAGTGAAAGTCATAAGTAACAGTCATCTTGAAAGTCTTGGGAATTCAACGACTCGATCGCTGCAACCATTTCCTCGATCGGATTCTCGCGGCCGCGTGGGGAGCGAGCGGAAGCGGCGAGCGCTTAGCGGCGAGAACTTGGGCCGACAATGGCGCTACGTTTTTTCAGGCCATGTTCACTTCCTTTGGGGAGTTCCTCAGCATCGCATACATCCAGGAGACGCGGACGTCGCGACCCTTTGCGGGTGGGGAGACTTTCAGAGAAGCGACGCTTTAGATGCTCCAACTCTATCCCAAACATTTGGAGCCCAAGGGAGAGAGAAAGAATCACGGAAGGAAGCGATCAGGGGAGTTGAGCCTAGCTTTTTGCAGCGATCAGAGCACTTGATTTGGCTCTTAGAAAGAAACACGGGTACTGGTCATGACATGACCAAACTGCCTAACGGACTGGGTTTGTTGCCTATCAAACAATTGAAGAAAAGAAGTTCAACGACGACGATTCAAAGCTTGTTGTTAATCAACTGTATTACCGGGCACCTCGCTGCCCAGTTTTTATTCCAGAGAAGACTCACGAGGTATAGCTATAGGCTAAGGCATAGGTATACAGTGATCTGCAGGGATGGGACGTGCTTGGGAAGCTACTGTATAGCTTTCCCTCAAAAGATCGATCCACCATTGGCGAAAGATGATTTCGATGTAGAAGACACGGACAATACTGTCGAATTGCGTTAAAAATATCAAACAAACAAGAAGTCATATTCTCAACTCCTTTCCATTGTCCAAGACGTTGGGTTTCAACCAGTATGTGAAGTACTAGGCTGACCAGTTGTGAAGAGACAAAACCCTCAAGGGAGCCAATCCCTTGTTGTTTGTACGACCTTACTGCACAATTTGCGGTGTCGGGCGGGGTCACGGTGCAATCCCTTAGCAGGAGCAAGTCGTGGACGGCGAGAAACGTCACTGGGAGAGCATGAGAGCACAGCCGTAGTGCCCTGGAACCAGGTAGGACTACAGTGGTTTCAGAGGGGGCACCCCTACATGTCTTAGACAAATCGGGGGGTCGATATTAGATGGTGCCAGCGACTTGCTCTGAAACCACTGGAATTGGTCTCTAGAGGTGAGTGAGATGTGTAGCTGTAGCAGGCGTGTTTTGTGCAGCTGAGCAAATGTTGTGCAGATGAAGCGTTCCCAACCTAACTTGATCTGGAACCAGTGCTGGTTACCCCTCTGATAGTTCCAAGTCAGGATACAATCCCCATGCATCTGGCTGGGAGATGTGGTTTGAGTCCCAGTGGTTCCCACTTCGACTCACACCGACCGAACCTCAATGGGCCTCCGAACCGAGCCTTGGACGACCGGAGCGGAGAGCGGAGCGGCGGAGCTATGGAGCGGAGTGACCTGAGACCTGAGTCGTGGTTCGCTCAGTTGGAAGGGTTGCTGAGCTGAAAGACGGAAGCCCTTGAGCGACTCAACCAGAGAAGCCAGGACTGAAGCCATTGCCGAGGCTTCTACTCCTGCCTCATTGATGCTTCCTGCGAGCAGATCCCCATTGAAGGCTTCGAGGACGTCTACGCACGCCGGGCAAAGTACCGCAGCTTGCCCCGTCAGAGATGAGTATCCTAGCCTTCAATTCAACATAGTTCGACCATTGAATGAAAATGGTTGAGTACTTTGTTGTGACCAATCGTCCGATCGAACCAGTTGAACGGTGGGCTAGCTGGATCGTTCGGGGTTGGATGGGTTTCTCCGGTTGAATGGTCTACCGAACGGAGAGAACGACGCATGAAAGGGATTGGTCCGAACCAGCCGGCCTGGGATCCATTGGTCGCCCAAGGCGTGGAGCTGCCGGGATTTCCAATCTTGGGCCATGGCAAGAGCCGCTGGGCGGTTTAAAAGACGTGGAGTAAAGATCAAAGCATTCAATACCTGTTGAATGAGAGGTCTACAAGGTGCACATGTAACATGCACTGCACCAGTGTCGAGTAAATGGCTGTTGAGTCAGTTTGAGGAGGCAAGATTAGATTGGGTGAGCCTCCATCCTGTTTTTCTCGTCCTGGAGATGGTCCCATCATGCCCAGTGAATCCCGATGAGCACCATTCCGAACATTGCAGCTTTGGGAGTCGCGGTAGCCGAAAAAGGAGTCCCTACTGTGGTGATTTGGTCGCATGTGTCTAATTTGGATGATTTTGGATGTTGTCAGATGGGTATTCTCCGGTAAATCCATGTAAATCCGGAATCGGACGTTACATCCTGCATGCTGGACACCCATCTGGTGGTGGAAGCAGATCCAAAGGGCCCTCTTGGGATCCAAAGGGATCGAAGCTGGACAGGTGACAACCAGAACTGCGCCATGATCTTTACACGTGGAGAGGTCTTGCAGATGATCGATGCAAACCAGGCAGATGTTGGATGCGCCCATCTGATCGGCACGTTCGCCCGATCGGGGTCAGGCCGAGGCCCGATGTCCCTCACATGGATCCGGGTTGAATGGCACCCTTAAAAAACGGGTTGTTCCTCGAACGAGTGGTTTTCAGCAGGGTAACTGTCAAGGTTGGTAGACTCTTCCGCTCTTCTGTACTTTTTTGGGGTGAAGTGGCGAGGGGTGCAGATCCTTTTGCTTCACTTGCTTGACGTTTTTCTGTCTTCAGAAGCACACACTGACACAGACACACACTCTGACATTGGTTTTCAGTTAACTCAATTCCCAGGAAAAATGGCGATGGAGCGGAAAGGTGGCAGAGTCCGTGAAAAAGTATGGTTGAACAAAAGTTTCGCAAAGCGCTCAAGTGAAAGCGGCGATCAGCGGCTGCAGAGCGGAGGGGAAACCTGTTTTGGGGTAGTAGCATGAAGAACCATGGAATCAAACAGAGCAAATTGGACAGCGTGGTCAACAGTTAGTCAGCAGGTACGTCACTGGACGTCTCCAGTGATATCAGTACCGCCACAGAAGCCTCCTCGTTGGACTGTCATTTCTGTGGGGTAGACAGTCCCCCTGCATGAGTGAAAAGTAGTGGCAGGAAATCTTAGTTACAGAGGTTGACACACACATACACACGATAGCCATGCCGATAGCAACATTCTTTCAGCTAGAGATCGCCAGTCTCCACCGGAGGGCGGTGCCTTCGGACACGTCGCAGGACGCCTACTTTGAGGCCTCCCTGTTCCTCCCGAGTGCCCTCCAAGAATTCTGCGGCCCAGAGAAGACGTTGCCGCCCGACCCTGTTATTTTTTCACGGCGACCCGTGAAACACGGCGGCTCTGACCGGGTTCGGGTTCCACGAAGGATGCCACTGGTTGTTGGACGTCCCGGGTTGGGGTGGTGAACTTGGTGACCTTGACCATCACTTCTCGAACCTGGAAGCTGAGGAGACGTGATGGACCTTGCATGAGTCGAAACATATTCACATTATATTCATCAAGTCACCAACAACTCTGCGAACAGCAGGATACCCAGACACTCCGCATGTATGGCATATTTGCCAACATTGGGGTGGTTGACTCCGGGGTCAAATAGAATGCATCATATGCAATACATGGATTGCAGGGGTACAATTGTGTGTTGCTTCTGTGCTTCTGGGCTTCGCTCCACATGAAGCCCCCAACACTCCTCGTGGTCGAAGCGTACGGGTCTATGGATGTGAATTTCTAACGTTCGGCAGCTTTCGGCGACGCCACGCTGGCAGATCTTTCTGCGGATGATGACTTCATCTTGAAACCATAGAAAAACCTATAATGGGCAGCCTAAGGCTTTCATGGCTTCTCAGGAGTCTTCTCAGACCACCAATCTTTGTTGAGAGGGCGCCCCCCCTCTCACCACCTCCATCAACCTCCCATCAACCAATCCCACCGTTCCCACACCGTGGATTCCCGTAGACACCGCGGGTTTTTCCGTCAGGAAGGGCCGCCCGGGCATCGTGGGCTTCCGCGAGCACATCTTCTCGGCGGTGGGACTTTTGGGGCGCCTGGCGGCGGACAGCGAGTTCACCTTCGGCACCATGATCCAACGGACCGCGGAGAATCCGCGAGCGGTTTGGATCCGAAGGGAGATGGTTGGGTGTGTAGATTTGGAAGAAGGAACATTGACATAGACCAGTCACCAGTCTATATACCGGATGTAATACCGGATGTGTTTGGTGTCATCCAATCCATCCCTATAAAAGATACACCCAGATATTCGCCATGTGCCATTGGGTCACGGAGTGTTGGGTCAGGGGAGTGTGCCACTTTGTCAATTTGGGCAAGTCAAGAGGTGTGGGAGGTGGGTCCAGCTAACTAAGGGGACCGGTTTAGATGGGACCTTCTTCCGAAGGTCCATGGTCGCCCATGACTCATCTCCCCCCGACGTTCCCGGACGGTCCCGTCGACCGCTGGTGGAGGTCGATCGAGGTGCGGACCAGGTGCGCTCGTGGAGTCGAAACAGGTCCCTGTAGCCGGATCCTAGAGGTCTGGTCCAGCCTAGAGGAGCTGGAGACTTGTAGCTGGTTTTTCGTTGGAAGGTGGAGATCCACCAGAATCCACCCAGTCATGACCGTTTTCCATCCGGTTTTCCATCCAAATCCAGTTTTCAGCTCGGAGCAGGACTTTGGATTGGCCCTTGAACAGCCGATTCCACTATGGGCACCCGGACTTGATGGACAAGTTGCAGGTGGTTCAGCAGGGTGGTGTCTCCAAGGCCGGCTATCGGTTTGCTGGCTCAAAAAGGTGCACAAGAAGTCACTATAGGTCATAGCACCAGGAGACCGACCTGTTTTTTTTCATGTTTTTTTTGTTTTTCCCCTACCTACCTAAGACTTTGTCATCCTTGTCACAAGAAACACTTGACCGGGGTTTCTGAGGATCTAGTTGCAGCAAGCTACACTCGCTGGACTCATGGGCCGTGGGTGGGATGCGGGAAAATGGTCCCCAAGAAATTGGATGACCAGGGTCATCACTCTGACCAGTCCCAAGTGAACTCCACGAATCTCCACGAAAACAAGACCGCCTGGGGAGTGAGGTCTTTTCAAGCTTGACAACATGCTCTGAAGCCATGATTGTGTTGCTTCACGGTGGAGGAACCTCCACACCTCGCAGGCGACGCGTGGCCTTAACCTGTCAGAAGATATTTTTGCTGGGCTGGACCTTTCTTTGAGAGGCGGGAGCGCAGCAATTGCTTCCAGGCGGTGGACATCATTTGGGGTTTGAATTGACTCATGAAACGATCCTGGCAAGAGACATGCGGTCAGCATGGACCCCGGATTTAATTTGTAGTTCAAGATATTTTTGGTGCAGCACCCCGACCAAAAAAGAACCAATAGCTCTCGCTATCTTTGGAAATACATGTATCATGATGTATCATGTATACAGATTGAACATCAATGATTCCACTCTCCACTCATGGCAGTTATGTGTTTCTTTGTGTCGACCGACTTAAGGGTCCACCCTGAGGGGTGAACCCTTCTATGACAAGCAGACGACATGACTATGGCGACCTCGAATTGTTTGTCGCATCGAATTGTGAACCTTGGGTTTGTCGGTAAAGAAGAACATGACCTTTTTGGAATGAGGCCTGCAACCTAACCATCATTATCCACTGGGCTCTGGTAATAGGATAGACCGATAGACCTAATGTATTTTCTTTGGAAGACCATTGCAACATCAGTTTGGGACCATGTTATTCACTTGTCCTGGATTTGGCAGTATCGTCTTTTGGTGTCCTGGATGCCTCTTTTTCTTGCAGCACCAGAACCTGCAGCACGTGCCACTTTTGTGACGTCGGTGTGGAAATTGGTGGAGTTGGGAGAGTTCCAGTGATCTCCTCCATTGTGCTAGGTGGCTGGACAGTCTACAAGGAGTACTTCCATGTTGGAAAGGCCCGCCTTCACCGGCGCCGCCTGACCGGCGCCTGCCGAACCGGCCGAACGTGAGTGTACCGACGCGAGTATACTGGCTGGGAGGGCGGTGAGTACACGTGCAGTACCAATGACTTCGAAGTACCACAAGACCAGAACTCAAATGGGCTTGACTCAGGACTGTGAGCAGTTTGTGAAGGTCTGTGAAGCTATGAGATAGGCTATGAGATATTATGAGATCATAGGCGGTGCCTCGACAGAGTGCTCTGACGCCGATAATTCAAGTTTGACTGCAGATATGGGTTGGTTGTCAATTTGAGGATTATCCTCATGATTGAATGGCATGTGTATCTCTTCAAGCTCTGCAGCTACTTTGTCCAATTCCAGACATGTTCCAAACTTGGACCCCCCCAAGATCTGTTTTTTTCTTGGACCGCCATCGCTGCAGGGCAGAGATATGGGCTTCATGAGTGTGCTTTCCTTCTATGCCAAAGTCTCCATGGGAAATGCCGAGCAGGTGCGACACCGGGCGCGGGTGGGGTTGAGAGCCGGGCGCCCGTTCAGTGGCCGGGGTCCCCGGTCCTGTCGCTGTGTTCCAGATGGCGGTCCACTTGGAGGGGTCCAGGACCTACTCTTGGGGTTGTTTGGCACATCGATGCATGACACATGAAGACCTCTGTTCCAGACTGTTTGATGGGCACGTCGATCCCATGAGTCCCGTCGCTGTGTCTTTTTGAGCGACCGTTTTCAAGAGACCACCCCTTGGGCCCCTCCACTCCACCCCTTGGGCCCCTTCATCGGGCCAAAATCAACACCTCCATCCCCGCAGCTGGAGGCTCTCACGCGTCAGTGGATGCGCTTGGGTCTCCACCTGGAGCTCTCGCAGCTCTTGGGCATCTTCTACTCGCACATCGGCGCCTCGGCACCCCCAGCATCGACGTGGCCAGTGGGGTCCATGGCCCTAAACATCCCCCCAAGGAATCCCATTGTAACTGGAAGATATTCCGACATGGAACACCTTGAAACATCTGAGCTTCCATCCACTAGTAGATGGCCGGGTTCGTGGGTAACGAAGTGGAAGAAGAACTGTTTGTAAAGGAATCTTCCCTTCCGGACCATGCCATCCACGACTTCCATGTGATGTGTTCGTCAGAGTGTAATTAGCTGATCATGAGATGTCTTTCGTCAGGATGTTTTTGGGCACACTTGTGGTCCGAACCTGTCACAGTCCGTCGAATCGATGATAGTCCCTGGAATCGATCGCACTGGTCTGTCGCACTGGTCTGGAGAATCGAATTGGTCATGATGAGGTCGAAGGACCTTCCAATACCCAGACACTCCAGGTATGCCATATATGCTTCCATTGGGGTGGTGCCAGCAGGGTCAATGGGGCGGCATATATGGCATAATATGGCATACATGGAGCGTTTGGGAATAGGACTCCAATAGGTCGTTTTTGATGGTTTTTGGACTCCTCTTAACCACCTGTTGGAGGGTCCTGGTAGTTATAACCCATGCTGGCCAACGCTGCAAGGCTTCTACATGAATCAGTGCTTGGTGAACCGCGCGACCAAGGAGGGCCGACCAATGCGTCTAGTTCTGGTGGACAGCGTCCGGATCGAGTTCGGATGCCTGTCCTCCTCACAAAACGAATCTCATGTGATTGCACTCGGCTTCGCCCACCTGCGTTGCAGATAGCCGAACCAACAGCTATGCACAATTTTGACTTTCCCGTTGTGACTTTTGACAGCAAGAAAAGGTATACACATGCACGACGTCACTCACCATTCTCATCCATTCTCCATTATTTTGCAATCGCCCCCCCAGCCACCTACCAGCAGCAGCAGATTAAAACAAAAGCCCTGCTCTTTCAAATGCCTCTATTAACTCGCGAAAGCTGTTCAGCACCGCTTGGAAAAGCCACTGAAACGCCAGGCCTTCTGCTTCGCGGCGGTGCTTTTCGCCCTTGCAGGCGAGGCCCAGGAGAGCTTCTCCCACCTGGCTGTGGAGATGATGCGACCTGGAAGCAAGCCAATTTGGAGAAGGTGATGGAAGGAGCACTGAGGGGGGGGCTGGATTTCTGGAGTCTGCCTTAGGGGAGCGGCACTGCCCCAGTGAGATCTACTCAGCACCAGCTGGTTGAGGAACTGCGGGGACCTGGGACCAGATGGGAATTCAACAATTTTGGCTCGAAGCTGACGAGGATGGGAAAAGTTTTGCCATGGTCCACCAAAGCGGGATTTCCTTGTTGGTGATTGATCTTGTATGTTTTGATATGTGTTGTATGATCAGGTTACAAAATGTAAAGAAGAACTTGGTTTGGGGTAGCTCTTGAGGCCTTGAGGTAGGATTTTGGGGTCCTTGTCCTAGTCCCGTGCCTTTGGCATACTTTCTGTCTGCAAGAAAATCAAGGGATATTCGATGGTCACAAGGGAGTTTGTTTCTGTTTCTTGCTGCAAGGTTAGGATCGAACCAAGTTCTGGTATGGACCGGGAAATCCCTCTCGGCCCAGCTTCTTAGAAGGCTTGAATCACTCATGGCATCCCATGCATGGTGGATAAGGGGGCCAAGCTGGGCCCAAGCATTCCGGAGTCAAAAAACGACCCATTTGTTCTTACCACTGTGTTCACTGTCTTAGCTGGCGGTCTCAGCTTGAAAAGTCAAAACAAAAACAGGTGTATTCACTGTCTCCATCCACTCTCCATCCACTCTCCATCGGTCTCCAAGTTCCAGCTACTTCGGCTACTTCTATCTTCTCTTCGTCTTGGCCTCCATGCTCCCCTTCGTCTTTGAGACGATGCTGGAAGAGGGAGGAGACTTGATCGGATCCGTCAGCACTAAGACCGGGAGCAAGAGATTGATTACACCAGTCTTCCAGCCAAACTGAGAGCAGGAGCACTGATTGCATGAGATGAGGATGTTGGTGATGATGAATGTTGTATGTATCCAAACTGAGATTTGTTACATGATCCAATCTCATTTTTCAAAATGATCCAACATGCATGCTTAGATCAACTGGAGGCTTCTAGTAGTTCCGGATGGGGGAGGGCTGGCCGTCAACGGTGTGGTTGGGATCCTTCAAGATGATCAAGATGTATCAAGAGGTCGTGTCAGCTGTGAGGCGATTTGCTCACGTGTCGGTTCTCAAGCTGCAACATGTGCTGCTTTGGAGTTCAACAAAGCTCAAGGATCACAGAATGGGCAACCTTCAGACCTCAACATGTCGCTTCAGACCTCAACGCGGTTGGAAGATGCCTGTTGATGCAGACTCGCACGAGTGACTGGATGCTGTTTTTGTCGTTGTGTTTTGGTGTTCAACACTTCACCTCGATCGCGGTTGGAGGATTGGCTGCGCTTTGGAGCTTGGGATCTTCCCTGGTGGCTCTGAGTGACTTCGCTGCAGCGAGTGGTTCTCGGCCCCGAAGCAAACACAGCAGGTACACAGTCGTTCAGAGGGTGGGCTGTAGATAGGATGAGATCCTCCGTTTGGGTGGGCGTTCGCATGTGGTGTGTTTTAGTGTTCTGAACCCAACAGTGCGTTAAATGACAACAATCACCGGCGGTGTACAGTAATTGTAGATGCATGTAACAACACAGAAATTGGGTGGTCAAAGATCATCTGGTGCTGGACTCTGTCCTTCAGCTCGTGGTCCCATGAAAAGCTTGGCTCCATTTGGACTACATAGGCTTAGGACCCAGGCTGTTGGAGCACTCCCACCGCCGTCTCCGCGGTGGGCCCGAACTGGTCACCGGTCGTTTCGACCGAACTGCATGTTCATGGGTGTGTGGCTCATTTTCCTGTAGATACTCGTGTCAGATTGTAGGGAGATTTGATGAATTTCAACCAAACATTGAAACTCGTGCATCTCTGTCCAAATCAGTGAAAATATGTGAACATAGTTACACGCACAACAGACATTCACCTGTCAGAATTGACTCGCACAGATTGGACCTTCCCGCAAACCGATCAGAAAACGGGTGCGTCGACCGAGCCAGAAGCACTGAGGCCCTGTCTTTTCAGCCTTCCAGTCTAAGCTCATGAGCCATTTCTTTGCACCTTGGGCAGTCCAGTTGGCAGATCGAGTTTTGTGAAACGACGTTGGCCAGCTGCAAAGCAGAACTTTGGGTATGTGGTGATCCCCATTATATGTAAGTTCTAATCGGTTCTAGTCAGCGCATTTCCGTGGCAGGAAGGAAGGGAACCATGATGGTTTTGATGGGGTTGTTGGACGGAGCCTTTCGGCAAAACTGGAAGTATGATATTGTCAGCCGCCTGAAAAAACGACCGACCAGTGTGACTGCTTCACAGCCACCGACCAACACCATACACCATAGACACCTCCATGGCGTTCACGGAGGAGAATCCCTATAGGGAGACCGGTGGAAGACCACGGGGAGACCGAAAAAGAAGGAAATCACCAGGGCCTTCAGTACGTGACCCTTTGATATCCCAGGATGAGGTCACTTAGGTCTAGAAACTCCAAAGAGGTCACTTCGGTCTGGTCCTGGAGAAGACTTCGCCATGGGCTCTCTGAGACGATCCTGCAAAAACCCCGAGGAGACCACGCTGCACTATGGGGGTGCCCAGTACATCCCCACGGGTCGTGGGCTGGCCACCCAAAGGGAAGCCTTTCTCAAGAGCGCCTCGGTCCCGGTGCGGATCCGTGACGCGGGTCGTGGAGGGTGGGCGGTGTTGGTTGTCTAAACCCATCCTGTTGAACGGCGACAGATCCGTATACAATGGCTTTCTAGGGCCCAAAGGGGTATGATGGGTCGTCAGAACTTCCACCAGGAGATGAGAAGGGGAAAGGACAATGACAAGCGGTCTGATGTTGTGTGTTTTACAGTGTCAAAAATTGAATCATGTCGAATCCACTATGTTAACCCTTTTGGAGTTTTTGGAGTAACATCACAGCTCGGACTGTCGGGACTGTCTTGAGACGCAGAGCAAAGAGACGGTGACAGGTCTGAGAGGGGGGGTCGAAAAAGGGTCCAAGGATGTGAGTCGGAACATACCTCTTTGTAAGGATATGTTTCAGGGGTTCGCAAACGGAGTCGAACCAAGGATCTGAAGGCCAAAGCACTTCTGAACCTTCTCAGTCTGGCCTGAACACTTCTAGGGTCTGAACCAAGGATCTGAAGGCCAAAACATTTGTGTGTGTTGAAAGACCAGTGAGAGCGTTTGCAGGCTGAACCTATACTGGTAAGGTGGGCACCATGTTATGAAAGGCAGGTTGGGGATTTTCCTTCCTTGGCATCAGCTCCATATTACTGTAGGCGGCCTACCGAGTGTTGAGCCGCAGCCACCTTGCTGTTGGCCCAAGAAGCAAAGAGTTTCCGTGCTGTTCCGCTATGAATCAATGACCACCTGGTTGTTGATGCCAAAACAAGAAGCCAACAACTGGTAGAACTGGCAAGAACCACCGAGGTAGATCCAAAACACCAATGCAACCCTCTCCCCTCTTTTGAGCCGTGGCCACCGTGGCCGAAGCTGTGGCACGTTTAGACGAACGACGGCCCAGGTTTTCGGTGCTTTGCGCCGTCGCACATGTACGATGCACTGGAGGCATGGGGCCATACCTACATCTTCAACCATCTCCTCAGGTTCGGTGGGAACAGACCCCCCAAATCCACCCACCCCTGGCCCACCTGCTGAGGATATGGTTGGAGTTGGAGCCCTAGGGATAATACAAGATGGATCAATATGGTGTTTTTTGGACCATCAAGGACGAATTAGATGAATTGACATATTCAGAATATGAGGCAAACTGACCATTCGAGCCACAGACGATTCTTTGAGTAGTGCCCAAAGGGGCGTAGTGGCATAGAGTTACCCAGTTGGGCAAAAGGCAAAAGGCAAAAGGACTCGTGACAATTTTTTGGATATCACTCATGACCTACCACCTGAACCACTCAAGAGACATCCAAGGAAGCATTACTTCTTGGGTTTGTTGACTGGATGGCGCAATCTTCACATACTTTGGATTCTCACCTTGTGACCCTTTATGAGAAGATTCACTAGACTACTACTGGGATCACGGCGGTTCATGAGGGTGTAGGTGTTGTTCGTGAAATATTTAGTTCATTTGAGACACACAGGCGCATACAGGCGCCAGATATACGTGATTTAAATCAACCTCCATTCAATCGTGATGCCTTGTTGCCAACATTCATGTTGATACACCTGTGGGCCTGTGGGTGTTCAGGTTTCCAAAGTGCATTCTGGGATTTTCTGGACCCCCACTCCTATTCAAAAACATCAAACATCCAGCCAAGTTGATCCAACGTGCTCCTTCCGCACCCACCACTGCTTCCTTCCCACTAAGCCGGGGTGTTGCCACCCCAGCGGCTGTAGGTGGTGCTATTCCTGGCCTTCACAGTTCCAGTGGACTACGGTGCCTTGGACTACAGTCCCGGCAGCTGGTTCTTTCACGGTGCCCATTTCGTCCAAAGAAGCCGTCTTGATTCGGGGTTTTTAGAGCGAGTTGGGCTCAAGAACTTGGAGGGGAGGGAACAACAGGTTTTTGATGGTTTTTGAAATAAATCTTTGATTGTGAGATGTAGATACTTTGAAAGTTATAGTCCCTATGGATCCGCATACCTTCTGAGAAGGTGATTGGAGACTATTTATGTAGGCTTGGAGGCCTCAAGTACCTTCTCAGAAGGTATGTTGATCCCTAGGGAGTTATTTCTGTTTCAAAGGCGCCCCTAGGCCTTGGCGGCATACCTGGGCAAAGCTTCCTGCACTCATCCGGGGCTTTTCAGGTGATATAGCCAATATAGCACCTAGAACTACCAGCATCAAGTCGTCCGGGGCGGGTTTAAACAGATTTCTTCCATCACATGTCGGAGACGTTCACGGTCCGGCTCCAGAACGTCCAGGGACCTTTAACACAGATGTGTAGCTGAAAAAACCGGACCGTGAGGGGTCCAGGTCCGCTAGTGCGTTGGGCGGTGCCTGCAATGGGTGGTGACGCAGCAAAGGGTCACAGGGTCTCCTTGGGGCGCAGACTTTTGACGTTATATACTGGTTGTGGGACTTTTGAGGTCTAAGCAAAGCAAGCAGCCAAGACTAATACAGTAAAAGATTTGGATGCCTTCAGGTTTGACTCGGGATTAAGTTATATCTGCAGGGAGAACAGGGGATTTCAATGGATTTCAGCCAACATGGGATTTGACAGATGGTCAAAGTAGCTTGACATGATTTCAATACAGCGAAGTCGACAATCATGAGTGGAGGGGCCAGACTCCTTGGTCAATCCCAACAATCCCAAGGCCAGATTCCTTGGTCAGACACCCTATACTTCCACACATGACATCCAGCCATGGATAGCAGGGGGCCCCAAGTCAGCTAAGAACACAAAACCTGCGTCGTGGCCCGCGCGATGCGACGGCAAAACCGAGAAAACCGAGAAAACCAGAAAACCGAGAAAACCGAGAAAACCGAGAAAACCGAGAAAACTAGAAAACCGAGAAAACCGAGAAAACCGTTCTCGCGTTTTGCCGTGTGGAAGTTTTTTCCAGTTTTCTTACGTTTTCTTGCTTGTTTTGTCTTTGAGCGTGAAAACGAGAAAAGCAAGAAAACGGGTTTCGCCGTTTTCCCGGTTTCGCCGTTTTCCCGTTTTCGCCGCTTTCGTCGTTTTCGCCGTTTTCGTCGTTTTCGCCGTTTTCGTCGTTTTTGCCGTTTTGCCGTTTTCGTCGTTTTCGCCGTTTTCGCCACTTTCGTCGTTTTCGCCGTTTTCGCGTTTTCGCGGTTTTCGCCGTTTGCACGTTTTTGTCGTGTTCGCCGTTTTCGTGGTTTTCGCGCAGTCGTCGTTTTCGTGGTCTTCGCCACTTTCGAAGGTTTTCAACTCAAAAGAGGCCCAACAACAGGATGTCGCAGGAGGC